TCCCACCACCCAGGGTAAGGATGCTTCCCTGCACCCAGTCTGGTCCTCTCATACGGGCTCAGTCTCTTCTTTCAGCAAAAAGATTGAAAGAAGCTCTCCCATTCTCCGGGGCATGTCTGAACTTCCGGGGTTGTGTATAACTGTTTTGGTGTAATCCAAATTTGTAGAGTTGGAGGTATTAATCAAGAATCTGTGAAGTGCTGTGAGCAAGGTATATGTGTGAAAGGATTGAAGAGCAGGATTCCACTACTTCTGCCAGAAATCATCCCTGTGGCTTTTGTGTATTTTTTATGAAAGATATAAACAGACCTTGGGATGACAGTTACTGCCTAAAGGGTCTGGAGAGGTCTGTCTGTCCCAGTGGCATTGTATACAGGAAATGTACAGGAAAAATGGCATTTGCCCTCTCTGTCTCACTGTGATGCTTTAGGAGGACATTTCAAGGTCCACAGAGAATTTGGCTTCCAATTCATTATTAGGTAAATTATACCCATGAAAGCTGTAAATTATACACATGAAAGCTGTTTCATGTGTTTCAGGGCTGTGTTTCCCAGTGGGGATCAATGTGCTGTTTCCCAAGGGTTCAGGAGGCATGGGCTAAACCACAGAGCACCTTATACCTCACTAAAATGGTGATAGTAATTCTCAGTTTAAATAGCTTATGGGAAGGGCTCACGTAACACTGGAAAGGAGTTGCTGGCACTTATTTCTTAGCTCTCTGATTTTGTACAGCCTGGTAGAAGAGATGAAGCATAACAAACAAATTCTTGGTTGTTAGAGGTCAGAAATGTTTGGTTGATTGTGCTTTACCACCAGTTTCAGTAACATAAGCCACTTTATTTGAAGGAGAATAAGGTTTGTGCCTATTAGCTGCTGCCACTTGTGCACGAGACTGATGTCAGCCATTGACTTAATATCACCAGCTATGACATATATACACCTTCTTGAAAGGCACAATTTGAAGTGGTCATTTAAGCTCTATTTATATTCTTTATTTCAAATATTAAGGTCACCATAATGCCGTATGTATTACTTCAGAGGATTACGGATCACACTGCAGAGTGTTTTATAAATGATTTCTCTTCAACATAGCCTTATATTGTCAGGGCAATTGCTTCTACAGTCCCACTTCCAGTTCTTCCACCTTAATCTATGTCCAGATCTTGCTGAAATTCCTGAGATTCTTCTTTATTAAGGTTATTATCAGTTCCCACACTGCCTCTGTTGCAAGAACAGCATTTGGGCCCACAGACAATTTATTTAAAAATCCTTAATTCTGTTCTCTTTGCATTGTCTTTATCCATTAGTCATGGAACTAATGACCAGACATACAGTATGTAGGCAATGTACATGTGTTTATGGTGTCCTTTTAAAAGCATTTCTTCCTCCTGGGAGAAGAGAATCAAGAGAAGCTGCTGTCTCCCAGGATATAAGCGGGATCACAGCAAAAATTCAAAAACTCCCTATTACCCTTGCTTGTGCAGTGCCCAACTCACACCAGGTATCAGCGAAGCAGACCAGGCCTGCCTCTCTGCTCACAAAGGTTTATTGCTGTACATTTATCAGCTCTATACAGTGGCACTGAATGCACACACACCCTATTAATTTCAATATGACTAGGTAGGAAACACATTCTTCCTACGGGTAGGCAGCTGTCTTGAGAAATTTCAAAACCTCATGCTGAGAACTTGCTTGTGTATGATCTGCACTGAAACAGAAGTACCCACACAAGGGGCACCTATTCTCCTCTATCATAAATTGTGCTTTGGATTCAAGACTTGCTGAGAAAAGGGACACTATTCCCATGGGCTCTGACTTGTAAATGTGTTCTTCACTTGAGAGATGAGTAGTTTTTACATCTCAGATTTGGGACACTGGAGAAGGCTTCAGGCAGTCCATGAGCCAGGTGCAATTTCCTGAGGTGCAATGCTGGGTGTGCTGAAGTCAACTAGCAGAGCCAGAGCAGTCAGCATGCAATACCTGAGGGGAGCTCTTGCCCAGAGAACATGCTGGTAAACAGTAACCACAGCCAGCCCCAGCTTGCTGTCTAGTCCACTAGTTCTATGCTTTTTGTGTAGATTACTGATTTAGACTACAGTGTCAAGAGACAGCAATGGTCTGTACAAGTAACCTCGTAAGTCATAAACCACGTGCAATTACACAGGCAGTACTAAACTACTACAGTAGTTTAAACAGTGTTTGTTAGTTGTTGTTATTATGTCTCCCGAGAGCTTAGTTAGAGCTATTGCTGTCTGTAGGCTGTGATTTACAGTAGTGTAATCACCTGAAAATACTGGGTTTGTTAAGCTTCTCAGGTAATACAAAAATGAGTCAAGCAATATTTACAGATACCAAATGGACTTAAAATGTTTTTCGTGCCTGAAGATGTATTATTTTATTATGTTCCACCCATCCACTCGCCAACAGATGAAGTGGTCTTTTATTGGGAACACTTACTAAAAGAGAGAATTATAAAAGAATTTCTGTGACTTCTAATATTTGTGTTATGACCATGATAGTGTGACTGAATGTTCAGTAACAATACAGATACCACTTGACTCCTATTTAAAAGAGCACTAAGTCAGGGTTTTCCTCCTGATATCAAGTCTGTGAAACTCTCCTTTCTTGAAGTGATTCAGGAAGAAAAACTGTGCTATTTGAGAATGTAAGCTACACATGTTGTTAGATTATAAGAAACCTTGAAATTCATTGATTAGTTTTCTAGTAATAATTATTGTTGCAAGAATTTATTAAAGATTACTTAGTCCTTCAGGAAAATTATTGTAATCACGCTTTTCAAGCTTTTTTTCTTAAAACGGTGGACTTGGAAAGATCTTTTTAAGCTTATACTGGTTAATTTTTAGTTTGATATTTTGTACCAGTACAAAGCCCTCCCCCTTTGCTTACTCTCATTTTCCTCTCTCCTTGAGTACGACTGCTACTCCTGTCCTCCACGGAAGCCCATATATAGCAATTCCATAGGGATCTAGAACACTATGATGGGAGAAAGCCAAGAAATACAGGACAGTGAAATGGAGGGGCTCCAAAATGAGCTGGCCGAGGCCTCTCTCAATTGAATTTTGCAGCTTTCTAGGATGTGGGGCCAAGGTCATTCCTACTTCAGATGCAGCAGAGGGGAGGGCTGGGGCAGGAAGTTTCCATGGGCACACACCTGCTGTTTGAAACAGCAGTGAATAATCAAGGGAAGAGCCTTGGAGTTCCAGCACCCTGTTTTCCCTTCCTCTAAAGAGTGCAGAGACAGCAGCTGCGGCTGTTGATTGCTCCATTTCTCTCATGGATCCCAGCAGACCCCTTCCCTTGGGAGCAGCTGGCTCCAAAGTCCCTGACCCCTTGTGGCCCAGCCCCAGTTCAGTGTTCTTGCAGCACCAGGGCTTAGGGCACACCAGGCAGTTCAGCTACAGCAGTCCTGCTGCCCTGGGGCAGCAGTTGCCTGCTTTGTCCTGGCCTTGGGGACAAGCAGATCCACCCAAAGCTACTGCAGTCTTAAATAAAAACAAAACCCCACGCTAGGCTGGAGACAACTCCCCATCTCCAGTGTTTACTGGACCAGTGGTGTGTGTTGGGCAGGAAGTTGCACAGGAAAACAGGAGCTTGGCCTCTGGGATAGGGCAAATGAGGTTTGGGAAAGCTGCTTTCCACCTGCCAAAAAAACTGAGGCTGAAGCTTAGCCAGTTGGACCGCTGGACAAGCTCACTTCTCATTAATGTCAGTGGGATTTCTGTGGGCACTTAGCAGCTGGTGTGCTGTAAGCCCTTACAGAGGGATGACCGGGAAGATCATAATAATGCAAATGTGTGCGAGGCTGAAGCCATCCATGGTCTGTGTAAAGTAACGTACTCAGGTGATGCTTCCCAAACAATAATGGTTGTACTCTAACAGATTAGTCCTCACCCTGAGTGCTTGCTTTCTGCTTTAGAGATATGGCAATGCTGTTAGCCAAAACACATTCTCCCTAAGTCCGAAATGGTATTCATTGCTGCTTCTCTTTTCAAAAGCTTTTCTTTTGTCCTCTTTTCAATTTAAATTCAACTGATGTATGTTTATCTAGATAATATCCTGTAAGTACTTTTACATATAAATGTACTTCTCACTTTTCACTTCTTCTAAAGCTGTCAATAAAACATTTTAAAACTGCTCTGTGGCACAGATAGGCTTTTCACTCATCCATATTTTCTCTTAAATAAGGCAAAGTAGATACTGCTCAGTTCTTTCATAGAAGGCACTGATGATAGCGGCAGGTTCATGTGCTGTTTTTAAAAGGAACCCAGCAGGACTGAATACCAATGCACATGTTGGTCATTAGATCTGTTCTGTCCTCAGCTTCCTGCTAAATGAAACCTGGTTTCATTGTTCCACATAGTAAACTGTTGTTGATTGATGTAATGCTGAATGGTGCTCGTGGCTGATTTATCACTCCTGGCTTGAGCACTGCACAACCTAATGAGTAAAAAGGAGGTACTACTGACTAGGAACAAAAGGCCAGCAAGGGAAGTAACATGGAAGGGAAGAAAAGGGAATCTCATAGCCATCATATGGATACAGAGCATTGAGAGAAGAACCACTAATGTTTTTGCAAAATTTAACATGTATTTGTGTTTCTGATGCTGATTTATTCAGTGAACACTTAGACTTTGAAAACAGAATGCATAAACATTGCATGGGAGAAATTAGCTGAGAAACAACATCTTAATATGGAGTACAGGAGTGCATGGAACACTTCTGACAGTGGAGGAGCCTGGGCTCCTACACAATCATTCCCAAAGAATGTTAAAAATATTTGTTGGAGAGAACAAGCTTGTGAAATCGATTTTCTGAGCTGCTGTCTGCTTATTTAAAACAAAAATTATCTCACAGCAGTTCTATGTGTTTCCTTTTCATATCAGTGTTAAACTTATCTTACATTACATACTGAACATGTGTTTATAAGTTAAAAATATCCATTATAAAACTCAATGCAAAGAGAATGTGGCTTGCTGGCATGCAGAGAGATATCATGTTTCATTATTTTTTGTACTGTGATACAGTTATGGCGTTATCAGATATCTAGCGCTTTGAAGGATCTATTGTAAACATGTCAAAGACTTTTAGAATTTGATTTTGGCAATATTAGATCACAAAAACTGAGGAATGCGTCCCACAACTTTCATTATACAATGTATCCCATTATTATTTTTCCTGTTTTGGAGTTGAAATTAAACTAGCATTAATAACATCTGGATATTTATTCTTTCAATCTGAAAAAATCATGTTAATTATTATCATGTCTATAGAAATATGCATTCAAAACACAGACACTGAATAGTCACTGCTGTGTGCTGCTTGTGCAGGCAAAGAGAAGGGTGTGCCTTGCATAAAATCCTGATGTCCACAGTGGAGCATGCCGAGTCAGGAGTTCTGTCTCCTGATCAGCACCTCACCTCCCCAGCAATCTGGGGAGTCCAGGACTAACAAACTATGGCACAAGTGTTCCACTTGGCAGCTTTGCACCTGGGAAAAGAGCATTCCCACAGCAGGTAGTAACTTGTGTAGCAGCCACCTGTAGTGCCACCACTACAGGACTGTTGATGGGAGTGTGGGAGTGAAAGCTGTGTGACTGGGGACTGGGAACAGCTGAGCCTGAACTTGGAGTCCACATTACAACCTAGCGAGAGTTTAAGGTTGGGACAAAGACTCAGAAGTGGGAAGACAGTAGCTTGTCATAAGAAAAAGGACAGAAAGAAAGAATGGGCAGAAAACCCTCTGCCCTTTTGCCCCTAGACTTAGTTTCAGGAAGTCATGGTCATTCTTACCCTGGCGTGTTGGCATGCACCTGTCAGCCACCCCCCAGCAAGAGTCTAAACTCTCTTTCAGTCTCCTTCTTCTAAAGAATGACAATGTTTCATTGCTCTCAAGTATTCTTTTGGTGTCTCATTGTGCTAAGTTTAGTGTTCTAAGGTAGAAGGTCTTGCCTTGCTGAAGGCAAGGCATCTGTATGTCAGAATGCCAATGGAGAGTGGAACTCCTGCTTTTTACCATCTTTTTAAAAAGACTGGGGAATTAGCACTTTCTTCATTCTAATTAGTACAAATACTGTAAGCATTAGAAATGTTAGAAGAATAGTCAGGTTGTCAAATGAAGCAGTCAAAAACTGCAAAGTGTCATGATTAAGAGTTATATGGTGAATTGATTGGACCTGTTACACATGTTCACTGATGAACATGTAACAAGCAATGTATTTTACAAGCACGTTTGAGTCCAACTTTATTTATGTTGGCAGTTAATTCAACACAAACATTTGTGTCTTCATTTCCACAGTACCACAGTGTCACAGTGATGGCCTGCAAAGTCATCACAACAACAGCACTTGCTAGCTATTTTAGCTTTGTTTTACAAATGCGACAAACTTCATAGCCAAGTAGCAAGCACATTTGATAAGGCAGGTTTAGACATTTGGATATCTTGTTACCTTTTCCTAAATTCAAATGACAGTTTCTTCTAAGCCAGGATAATGCATAAAATATACAGGGTGGAGATGAAATCCTGTCTTATAAATTAATATAAATGAGACATTATAGTACAGATACATATCCTTAAGGTCTAAGTTATTCTCTTCACCAAACTAAATTGCTAACAAATTGGCAAACTAACAAATATCAGCATTTATGAAAATTAAATCCATGTGTTCTTCAATGCATCAACTACTTCCAGATGTAAAAATCCATGGATAGTTTTAAAGTATCTTAGTCCCACAGTCAATTCCATCATGATACTCCAAATGAGCACTGTGATATACAAGAATATTTAGTCTGTTCAGGAAACAATACTTGTTGCTTTCCTTAGAGCCAGGTATCCCGTAACCACATCTGAAGGGAGCATCCGAATATAGGCAAATTCTTCAATAGTACTAAATCTTAGCTTGCTCTGTGGATCTGTGTAATTTGCCTGAAAAAGAAACAATGGTAGAGATACAATTCAAATAAAATTTCTAACCATAAAAGAAGTATCTTAATTCCAAGACCACAAAACAGTGAGTTTCTCTTCCCAGTAATAGCACTGCTGTTCTACCATGTGGCGAGAAGTCTCTTTTTTTTTCTCCTCATGTGAGAACTTATGAGAAGTTAACAGACTCCTATAAAATCAGATTAGAAATGCATTAAACATAACAGAGGGCTGAAGTAAGTTTCCTATAAAACACAGTGCAAAAGAAATTCCTCAACTCTCTAAACTCACCCTAGCAACTCTGTGCCTTGTGCAGTCTCTCTCAAGGCAGCTCTCCAAAGAATCAGGCTGCTGCCAATAAATTACCCACAAAGAGGCTGAATTATGGGTGCTCTGATAGCTTTGGACAGCCTTTCTCTTGCTGCATACAACTTAGCTTTTAATTTACTTTAAAGTGGTTGTTAAAGCTAGGGAGTCTCAGCTTATGGTTCTGCGACTGAACTGATAAGAGATTTGAACCCAGCGTTGTGGTTTGCTCCAGCTGCCTGCTTTCAGGATAGCAAGCAGCCTGGCCAGCTCACCCTGGGCTACGCTTGTATCCTCTGCTATATTTGGACCTGGGTGCCTGGGAGTGGTGCCAGTTTCCTTCTATCCTCTCCTCTTCCTTGTTGCTACAGAAACCTGGAGCTCAGCTGAGCTCAGGGGTAGGCCAGGAGGCTGCACTGGGAGAAGGCAGGCTTCAGGGCATTGCCTCTCCACACTCAGCCTCCAGGACAATCCCTGCCTCTTCGACATTCAATTACCAAGTGCCTGCCAAGGCTCCAAAAGTGTCTTCTGTGCCTTTCTTTAGCACGAGATGGTGACAGGCTGCAAGGCACAGGCAGTTGAGATCCCTCAATACATTGCTACTAAAAATAGGAAAGGGCAGGAAAAGTTGGAGTAATCTTCCATGCCGCACACTTTTACAGTGCAAAGCTCTCTACATTTTTATCTTGGAAAGCACCTGTTGACCATGGTAACAATTCAGCCAATCATTTGGTCTGATATGACTTAGAAAATTTAGTGTTATTTGTAGCTTGGTTTTCTTTCCAAAGAAATGCAGCCAGGTTAATCAAATGTAGTCAGCTAACAGTTTAAGCCGTTAATTAAGTATCAAACAAATGGCAAAGTTGGAACATTAAGAGTAAATTTATGCCTGCTGGTAACTTCATGGTTACAGCAGGTATAAATTTACTTTTATTTCACTCTTTATATCTGGCCTCGTGTAAGAAAAAGCTAAACAATTAGACTGCTTTTCAGATGTGCATGCTTCCATAATAGAGTAACCAAGCAATATCTGCAATTTGTATTGTGCACTGATCTAGGTTAAAAATATTATGGCATCTTTTCACTGTTCTGCTATTATGTATTGGGCTGTACTGTTTGCAGACACTAACATATGGTAACCAGCCATTCACGCCATGGCTTCATCCTGAAAACAAACTTTACCAATACTCCAGCAATAATTAGAGATTAGAATATTAAATTAAGATGAATTTGCAAAGAAAAAACTCTGTTGTGTTTAAAAACTAAGTCAAAGGCCATGGAGACATGCTCTTAAAATACAATAAACTAGGTATCTCAATCTGTTTCTATAGTAACAGGGCTGATCCATTTTCAGAAAAGGAAGAGAAGTATAAACATGTGAAGGTTTGGGTGTTTTTTTTAATCTGCTTTACAATAAATTCCTCTGTTTTGCAGGTTAAAACATCTAAATACTCATCTTGCAAGTTTGGAAAGAACACGCTTATTTTGCAGTGTCAATATAGTAGATAATAGCTTTAGAATTCTAGGCTGTCTTACAAATATAAATTGGCTGCTCTGCTGAGACCATTGGTAAATTTCATTCCATTTGTGCTACACACAGAAAGAGAAGGGGATCAGTAGAATTTAATTGTGGCATCCAATGTAAGAGCAAGTATGCTGATTAAGAATGTTTTAATATACTTCTCTTTTTGTACCTAGTAGACAATTTCATTCTTCCCTAAATGGGTAATGCTAAGGAATTTTTTCCCCCCATGGGAAATCCAGTATTCCCACAGAAAATATATTCTTACACAAATGCTTTTATATTTTACACACAACATACAGGCACATTTTTCTAATACCACATTTCTACAATATTCTATTGTCCCACATATCTTCCTTCTCGGAAATGATCTTGAAAGCATGTTTAGTGCTTCTTATGAAACATTTCTAGCCTAGCAATTTAAAGCACACACTGTCTCAGGTATTTTAATAAAAAAGAGGTTTTTTAAATATGGTCATTTTATCATAGTCTGGAGGAACCCTACAGGCCAGGTAAAATAAGAAACTTGACTCACAATGCAATTAGAGGAGAGAAAATTAGGAAAAAAAAAAGTGGAAAGAGAAGAAAAGAAAACAAAAGCAGTACTGAATGGTTTTGTATAGAGAGTATCTGTACTAAACTAGAATAGTTATAGGACATAAATCACTGATGGAAAAGAGGTGCTGGTAAAGAAAAGCTGAGGAACTGAGAGAATTTCCTAAGGTTTAACTGACCCTTAACTGGTAGAGATGTGGTCTCCACTCCCATCTATACCCTGCATCATCAGCTCACTACAGGTGCAACGACTGATTCGTTTTGAAACACATCAAACGTTAGTGCTGGAAAGCATTATCTGGTTCCTTGGAGATGGAGCAGGAGTCTGCCTGGCTGGAGGGAATTATCTTCCCTGGGTTTGTGAGTCGTCTCTTCTATTTGCTGTCTGCCAGTTCATGTGCGAGGGAGATGTTGCTTTTCCACTCCCTCTTGAACACCAAGGGTTACCAGCCTTTATCTAAGCAACTTACTCCCTTTCCAAACCACATTCAGAGGCACAGGTTGGACACATGTCACCTCCTAGGTGCCTTAATTAAATATGTTGCTTAAAAAATAAAGTCTAAGAAAACCCATGTTACCAAATCAAGATCAAATGCTCGGATGTACAGGATTACAGTTGGTGCTATAGCTATTCTTTGATGCCTTACACTAAATATCCACTATAAGGCAGCCCTTAGTTAAGTGGTCACCATTTTCTGTCCTAATGAGGACGTTTTGCCTAATTCAGTGCACAGAATGCAGGGTGGTATGCTAACCTGCATCAGCATAACAAATATGTACCTTTAAGGACACCTTCAAGGAGGTGATATCAAGCCTGTGAAGGTGGGCTAGTGCCCTATGGGTGAGAAACAGATTAAACGGGGGGAAGTGACACAGAAATTCTGTGCAAGGCTCTTTGACATTACAAAGGTTTCATTATTGCAGCTACATAGTGTAACCACTACTTAAGCATTTTTTTACTCCAAAACACAACATTCCCATTCAATTCAATTTCAGTTGTAAGAAAGGCACAGGCTTCTGCAAAATAAATCACTGGCATTTGAAGGAGAAAAGTGAAAAGATATGCTGTTACTACTACCTGTTCTAAGTAAAATTATTCATGCAACATAGGAACAGTTTCAACAGGAGATACAAAATTTTTGCTGGGCAGAATTCAATGATTTTACTCCTGTTTTGCGCCAACAGAATCTTTGGGGAATTCAAGGACCAAATTGTAACTACCAAGACTTTCTGGAGCATGTGCAAACTGTATCTAAGTCAAATGTAGTTTGTTGGGGGTTTTTTCCCCTTTCTCCTCTTTCTTTAATAAAAACACATAAAAGAGCGCATCTGTGACACACAGACTATATATCTGCCAAACTCAACTTCCAGCTCTAAAGTATAGGGGTATTTGAAATTCTCAACAGCCAAGTGTCTGTTTCAGGCTGATTTGTTTGAGGAGAAGTTTGAAAGCAACGATAACAAGGGTTGGGATTTTTTTTTAACCTGTTGGAAAAGAGGCCAAACAATAAAATTTTGCCTAATCTCACTATTGAGATTGCTGAGCCATCTTTTTAAAACTTCCTCTACAAGATACAATGAAATAAATCCACATCAGGCAAACACCATGGAACGTTTCAGTCAGTGTGGGTGTTTCTTGGCAAAATTAGCAGTCATGGAGACTGTGGACTGTCAATTTTCCCTGCAGCTATGTTAGGTATTAGAAATTATGGGCACCAATGTAGATTCTACAGATGAGAAAGAGGTGTCATAGGAGTTACTTGGCAGGACAAGGTATTTAGTCTGTCCTGCTATCTATTAACAACCTAAGGATTTTGTGATGTAGTGACAAGTATTTGGGGTTTGGTCCTAAATCACTGAGTAATTATTAAGCCCAAGTCTGAATAGGAACCTCAGCATATACATCTTTTATAAAACAAGGCACCAGCACTATTTCATGGTGGAAGATGAGGTGCCAATTTTGAGGGGAAAATATACTTACTGGAAGTCCTGAGATGTCTGAGTATTTCTTAGCAGGTTTAAAGGAAGGAGGAGCATCAATATTAAAATCTAGAGAGAAACAAAGGCATCAACTCAGTGTCTTATATATATATGTGTATGTATATATATATATATATTCTATAACATAAACCTACTCTCTGAGGTCTCTATTAACCAGCAACACTAAGGCAAAGAAATATGAAGCAGAATCACCTCTGAAAACATTTGGCCTGTTAGCACTGTAAATCACAACCTGATCCTGCTCACCTATTAATGGAGTTCAGCAAGCAGAACTGCTCTCCCCAAAAGGAAAATGCCAGAGCCATGTAAAATGTGTCCATTTCTTCCAAGTCTTAATGAATTACCTTACAGCCCGTCACGTGCAAAGAATAGCCATTATCAAATGCATACTGTATGTTAAGACCATGAAACATTGCTCAAGATTGCAGCTCTGAAATACTATAATCCAGAAAAGCAAAGTAATCTTTTAAATCAGTTAAATCTTTAAGCATGTACCACTTTAAGCCCAGTCAATGACCTAGAAAATTGTCTGAATGTTTAAACTGAGCTGAGGGTTGAAAATTGCTGTTCTTTGGTGCCCTTTAGATAGCAATTATCATTCATAAACATTTTTAAGATACAGTTAGTATGCTTAAGTAGTTAAATCCTCAATTTTGTATGTTTACAAAAATATCTTGTACCTGACTAATTTCTTTCCTCTTTCCTGATCTCCCTTCCAACTCATTCAGATGTTCAATGCAAACACTCCACCCATATCAAATTTCTAACTCATCATCTCATAATTCAAAAGACTCTAATGCCACAGACAGCTGATTTTAAATATGAAACTGAATTTCTTTTCCCTCCCTCCTACAAAAAATCCTGTGAATTTCTGGTTGCAAACAGAGCATAGTAGAAATAGCAACATCAGCAGATTGTCAGTTACAATGGCCAGGAACACACAGTAGTCTGCATTTTTCTGTAACAGTTGCATCTAAAGCACTTCAAAAAATGGCAAGCTATTTTTGGATAAAGCACTAAGTCTGACAAAAAGTATATGCATATGCTCAGTTTTGAAATGCCTCCGCTTGCTTAAATAAAATCTGAGGATTGCTTTCTGCTGGCAGCTACATTCAATAGTATCCTACTTTACAAGTAGACTTGAAGACTATCTAGATTAAGACCACTGCTGTAACTCTGCTCCTATGGATGTAACCAGCTAGGATTGCTAATCAGCCCTGCTTATAGTGTAGTTTCAGCTGTGCTGCTCTAAAGAGAGGATATAGGATTTAAATCTCTCAAGAATCTAGGATAAGGAGCTGGATAGAAAGCTTGGGCTGAGGTCTAAGCTACTGCAGGTATGTGGCTTAGCAGAAACTATTTGAAAGTGCTCAAATACAGCAAATCAAGCAGCAGCCACCCAATAAAAGACCTCTGCACTGTAAACAGAGGAGGAGGCGCCTAACCAGTGAGAAGCTGACAAAAACCTCATGGAAATAAGGGTTTCTGACTTGGTTTGGATAAATACTTTTTCCTTATTAAACTCTCCCCCCAAATGTATTTGAACTTTGCTGTGATGCTCCAAATTGTTTGCTTCCCCCTACTTTCCACTTAGGGCTGACAAGTGTGATTGGAGTAATCTTAAATGTACTACTGGACCCCGTTCAAGCAGGATACTGCATGCACTGATGAAATAATTTAGGTTAGTTTTAAAGAAAGTTATTTGTGTGGATTCTATTATTTATAAATACATGCAAAGCATCTAAGCAGCTTACAGCTAGGATCATTTAGTTGCCATGGCAATGCCCTTTCAGAAGCAAGAATTTGTTTTAGGTTCTTCCACGTTCTGTTCTTCTTGCCAGCTGCTGCTCCACCAATGCCAGAGTGCTAGAATAAAAAATATGGTGTTTAGAGAAAAAAATAAAGAAAGAATACTATTTCAGAGCATGACACTTCTAGTTGATAGTCTTTCTGATATGTCTCATCTTGTCATGAACCATTTGTTATTCTCACTTATTTCATCAGCAGGCTACTATACTGTACACTTTAATCTTGGCTGCAAGCAAAAACAAAGCTTTTTGAACTGTGTCAAAGCTTCTATGTTTCCGATTAACTGAAGGAAATTAAAATTTGCTTTTTACATGGAAATAGAAAATCAATGTGGTTAGGCTTAGCCTGAGATTACAGGATTCTGTATGTGCTTCCTGTCGTATTAGAACTTATTACTATGAAGTTGCTTCTAAAATTGTGATTATACAGCTAAATTTTCCCTCTCTTTTTTATGGCATATTACAATTACAGCTCTTTTACAAAGTATCTGTAACTGCAGAAAACACAACTGATCTTGAAAAATGTAATGAATACTATAAGAAACTTTCTGGAAATTTTATTTTTCTTTCAAAGGCTAGGAGACAGAATAATAGAAAAATAACAATAAATAGAATGTTCGCTGCCAAGACAGTTTTGCATTTTGAAAGGAACACTAATGGAAGGCTACAGGTACTATAATGGCACTTGCAGTTATCAAATGTGATTGCTACAGAGTAATTTATTTATGTCCCTCCAGAGACAGAAGCTGCACAACATACTGTACTACTTCTAAATGATCAAAGGACACAGATTTACAGCTTAACTTCAGAAAATGTTCTTACAATTGAGAAGTTGGTATTTCTGTTAATAATTAGAACTTGCCCCATGAGTCTTATTGAAACTCAGCGAAGTTCTGTAAACACACTTCTGCTTTGAATGCTTGTAAATTAACCAGTTAAATTGATGAGGACAGGAGGAAGGATTCAATGAGAAAGCTTTTTTTTGCAGACATAAGATATATTCAGAAAAGATGCTCATGAGATGATGATATACTGGGTTTTCGTGATGGATATCTGATTTAAAACACAGAAGCAAGTATTTGCTCTTAGGGTAACATCTTAGTCATCTAAAGATCATTGTATAAGAGAAACTGCTACAGAATAAGATGAAACTACATGTACTTCCACACTACTAAGTCATTGCATTAATTTTCCCCCAAATCATTGTAATGATTTTTTGTTCAGTATTCTCAAAGCCAACCTCTGTTTTTATATGTACTTATGCCTCCTAAAAATAGAGCTAAGCATCACCTCACACACCTACAATGAAAAGGCAACAACTGCCAAGCACAAATGCACCATGCAAAGTTCAGAGAAAGCTGGAGCTAGGAGAAGTGGAGCTACTGCTCTACAGTAGCTATTGCTTTACAAAAGTGTCAGAAAGTCTTTTTCCCCTTTGCCATTGCCAAAGGATGTAAATTCCAATTAGAAAGTTTAGGAAAAGGTCAGTTCTTCCTCCTTCTCTTAAGTCTACCCTCTGCAGTGAGCTAATGGTTCAAACTTGGGCACACATATAAAGGATAGACACTATTTGATTTATTTTCTTCCTTTTAAGGCAAATTAGGAAAGATGAAAAATCCATCCAAATTGTTAGTTACTACCAGGTCATACCAATGAAATGCTGATTAACTCTCAATGCATTTCTTCTCAAATTAGTTACACTATTGGAGGGGACAATTTCATGGTTTTTATTATAACTGCCTATTATTTCTGCAGTGGTTGCCAAAGATCCTGCACATTCATTATTATTTCAAGCATGCAGAAATTAGTATTGCCTCTTTGGAAATAGTGACATCTGTCTAAGAACTAAGGATCAGCGCACGGCCTCACGGATATTTAAATCCTATGTGGAAACTACATAGGATGCCTCTGGCTACAAAAGGAGCTTTTGCAATAAGCCCCATTTCTCAAAGATGCTGTGCTTGCTGGAGGATTAGTGAGCAAAGTATACGGTTGTTTGAATGCCCCTCTCATGACTGAAGTTGTCTGCAAAGCAGATGTAGAGCAACTCACATGTCAGAGATTAATTTCATACCCCCTGCCAAACCTGTGCTTAGTGAGCTGTGTGTTGCCCGATTACTCGTTATGTGCTGTGGGATATTGTATCTTGTTCATACAGAATGAAATCTGGGATAAAAATCCTTCTTTTTAAATACTGGCTTAGGACCAACAGTCTGAGAGGTTTGCTTGTCTAGAAAGCATTTGTACAGTGTGCCAATGAGTTGGCCTTGGCACAGCAAGATAAAAAGATATCAAAAACAAACCCAGCATTACTAACTTAATTTTCTTCACCTCCTCTCCTAGTTTAACCCTCAGAGTGTTAGGAGTCTGCATTTCATCAGCTGTCAGTGTTTACATGACTCTGAATGCTGGCAGGCCAAACTTCTAGGGAGCACAGAGCATTTTGCTTCTAAATCTAGCAATGATTGCAAGAAGACACCACAAATCTGTTAAGAGTTTCAGGGACCAGAAGAGGAGCAAAATGCCATTTGCTAATGACTCTGGCTAATATCTAGCTCAACTACTTTGCAGCCTGCCTTGACTAGGAATGGGAACATGTAATAATTTTTCCTCTCTAGCTGTGGTAGTTTGTGAGATACCATATCATAAAACTTCCACACTTACGTGCACCTAACAGGTTTCCTCACTCTGTTCCAGAATTTAATATAACAGTTCTGCCTCTGGACCAGTGCCATTTTCATGCTATAATACAGTGTGCACTTTAGGCACTAGCGTGACATGGACTGAGGTGAATTTCTTAAAAACTGACAGCCTTTAATTTGGCTATTATGCTTATTTTCTTAATATTTACACTAGGAACATGGTTAAATAGAACCCTAGTTAGTCTTTTATGGGAAAGGTTTGAAATTTCGAATTGTTAAAATAATATACTTACGACGAAGTTTGGGTCTTTAAATGGTAACGGCTTGGCAGTAGTTTCCACTGATCCTGAGTTGGAGTCTGTGTTCAGAAATTTATTTTCGCTCACAGCCTCTCCACCTGCACTCTGCAGAAAAAATACAGTCTTACTGCTTGTTACCCTGAGCAGGTTTAACTGGAGATGGAGCCATCTGCTATATTACCTACCTGTTGCCTTTTTAGCTTTCCTATATCTTTTCAATCTTTAAAGATGTTGTGTGCCAAGAGTGGGAAAGCAGGAAACAGAGTATTTCTCAATCAATTTACAACTGACATACAAAAGGGAGGAGGGGAATAAAATGGCCTTCTGAGTAAAAACCACATAAGGTTTACTGCAGTATTAATGAAAGCCACCTCATCTCACTTTATAAAGTGCAAGACAGCATATGCAACCAAAACCAGCAGAAATGTACACTGGATCTGTTTTAGAATGTTCTGTAGAAAGTATAAACAGGAATATATAAAATTTATAAAAAGGCTTTTCATCAACTTTCTAAAGAAAATTTGATTAATCATTTTATTCATCATCCTTGGTGCCAGCTGTGCTTGAGTGAGGACTGAAAAAAGTATTTTATTAAAAATTATTTTTATATGCAAGCTTCACAAAATCTACATGGGTACTAGTTAGTATTTTCTAGGTTTTCTTTATGGTTTGTTTATTTATTTAACAGGAAGAGCAGTCAGAAAAGATGTGTGTGACTGGAAAGCTAAAAAAGTTGTGTGTCAATCTAAACAATTTTCTGATAATTCTGCACAGCTGAGCTTGTGTTTTTTTAAAAAATCTGTTAGTGATCTATGTCTCCACATTACCAGAACTAGCCCATACTACACATATAAATGTTTGTTTGAAATCCTCATCTATCCCAAAGTCAGTGCAAATTTTGCCACTGAGTTTGGTATTTTAGTCAATAGGAATTCATACCTTGATTTTTTTTTTTTTTTTTTTACTTGGAGTAAAAGCTTGGCTAAAAGCTAAGTCAGTATTTACTGAGTGGATGGTTAAAATGTTCTTTTATGTTATGTTTAGAGAGATAGTACTTAGGGAAGAAAAGAAGTGTTTTCCTGTAAAAACCTTTTGTGTTGCTACAATTCTCATTTAAGTGTGAAAAAAAGGACTGTTATTATTTGTGGCTTATTGGAGTACCTCTACAAACTGGACTATATAACAAAGGCCATGATTCAGCATATCCTTTTCCATGTGACTTCAAGGGAAGTGTTTTTACTCCTAATACACGCAAAAGTAATTACAGGATTAGGGACTAGGCAAGTTGAACTCTTCTTAGGGGAAATACTTCAGTCATTCTGCAGTCTCTGTTTTCAACACAGCAAAGAGAAGTCTTAAATATTGGAAGTATAGAGGAAAAAAACCAATGTTTCTAGTGCCTTACTAAAATAAAAATATGAATAGAAATAATCTGTTTTCAAAACAACACAGTCCTCTGTAAGTTCATATTACAGGGGATAAAGCAATAATAACATCAGCAGAAGCAACACTAAAGCCCGTATCTTAAACTTGATTCTTCCATTGAGGACAGAAAACATTAAAAGGCAGTGACTGTCAGAGAAACAGAACAAATGCAGATGGATGTTTAGAAACATGTACACTATGTGGCAGTGAGCAGAGAAAATATCTTCATCAATCCTGAGTAAAGTGGCTTTATACACTGAGTTCCTAGGTTTCAAAGTATATTCTTGTACATGCATGCTTCTAGCACTTCAGATTTCAGCAGCAAACATTAGTCAGCTTTGAGAAAGACAAGGCTTGAGATACAAGATTATTTTTCATGAATTCATTATCTCTGATACTGCTCATTATCAGTGTAAATTCTCTTAAGTGGAAGAATCCGCACTCAGATTTATTCTTCAAAGCATTCTTGCCTTTTCTTTGGTACCATCTGGTTGGTTTTAAATCCAGTTCTACAGATAATTACTTTATCACTTTTGCCCCTTCAGTGATCTTCTCCTAAGTATTCTGGTTTCTATGAAACAGGCTTTGAATAGTATTTCAACAATATCTCAAAACAGTAACGAGTATTTTGAGACTCAGCAAATAAAAATACTTAAATAGTAAAGGGGAAGAAACTTCCTTATACATATAGTAGGTAATTTCTGCAGCTGGATATATTTACAGACTACCATCACTGTCTTCAGTGTTTTTTTCTGTGTGGATTCAGTGCTAATCTTGTTGGTGCAGTATGAAGGTAAGTAAGGAATTGTTCCTAGCAGGACAATTCCTGAATGTAAATACTACACGTAATTTTTTTCCATACCAACTCCTAAGGGATTTCAGGTACTAGAGCTGCTAAGAGTTGGGCTAGTTCTCATTACAGGACAGATGTTGTTGTTGATTTTGTTGGTGCTGGTATCCCTTGCAAGGTGGTAGAGGCAGCAGGATCTAGAGCAGCAACTGCTGTTTTTTGGGTTTGCTGCCCATCAAGGCATCAAGTTCATGGGATCACCCAAGTCATCCTCCAGTGCCAGTGAGACATAATGCCAGCAGTAGCCTCTGGATCTGTCATGGACAATTTGAGAGCACTGGTTTCCTGTCCAAGGCAAAGGGTGCAGGGCTGTAAAGCAGTTTTCATACCACTGAGGCATGCAGCTGATTCCACGATTTCAGAGCCCTGTGACAGACTGGGAAGCAAATAAGACTGAGTATTATGATTCCAGTTAAACGCTGGGAACTGAGATAAAGATGTACTGTAGAGGCATGCCAGTTCCCTCACTCAGCACTGCTTGTATGAAAACTCTGATTTTTAGCAATGGGACCATGGCAGAGAGACACTTAGCTAATGTGCTTTCCTTTCTGGAAAAACATTAAAGAGTTGAGCAGAAGCACTGCTTCCCGAATAATGTACTATTGCACAGAGGCATGAACTCTGCAGTACAGAACTCTGAAAAGCTCTTCCCGTGCAGCCTGCAGAAGTCTCGGCTGATATCCTCTGCAGCTTTATAGCTGCAAATTGCAAGTGCCTCCAGAATCTACAAATCTCTCTGGCCTAAATTTTAAACGTCAGGGTTTAAAGCATAGGAAACATCATGTAATTTTTCAGGTTCATTTTCTGAAAGTTTCTTAAGGGCGGGGGATATGGATCTACCTTTGTTCTGTAGAGCACATTTTCTGAAAGTGAATAATAGAGTGATAATACAAACCATTATTTACAGCCTGAAAAGAGATTCCTCAGTGAACAATTACTTCACAGTAAAGGCAATCTTTAACTTTTAACATCGGTTGAACAAATCTCTCTCAAATGTGCTTGTTTTCTTGGTCGTTTAGATTGGAAGACAGTTCATTCTTCACTGTCATGTGTTAGGACAAACAAACAGGAAGAATTCAAATGCCCTTTGAAGTCCTGTGAAGTGACGGTGGTGTCGTGAGCACAGTGAGGAAGTGTCTGTCACCAGGGAACATGCTCTGCTCAATGTGTGCTGTAACCCCCAGTCACGTGTGGGGCAGCTTCCCCTTCCTGCCCAATCCACAGCCCATCCCCAGCACATTTTCCCTACCGAGCTGCTCTCTTAGCGAACTCCCTCACCCCCACACTCCTGGGATAATCCCAAATGCTTTGCTGTGAGGCTAAAAAGAAGGTGCAACCTTTTTGAGCATTTCATGGGCTGAAATGCTCAAAAGCTTCTTTAAAGTTTCTTTTTAACTGATCTTGTAAACAATCTTTATGGGGAATTCAACATACACTTCAAGGAGAGAGCAGTTTTTTACATGCACTTTATAACTAAATTGTGTATTTTAAATGGTAGTTTATGTAACTAGGGCCACAGGGAATTTGTGCTACATTAGTCACTAAGCAGTATGTTTTTCTCCATATTCTGTTGACGATTATAGCAACAAAGACTTTGGAGTGGTTTTACGTTTACAGGGTACACCTCCATGGGAAAAATGAAGATGTGACGTCAGTACAGCTGAACATGCTTATGCTAGTTTTACCTCAAATAAGGATAAAAACACTGCAGTAAACACTGCAGCTAAGCCATCAGTAACTATGAGAAACTCATCCTCTTCCAGCACCTCTTTCTGTGGCTGTTAATCCCCACTGAAGTCCATGTTGCCACTTCTTCTCATGTCACCCCTCTCTGTTCTCCTCCTCCTCCCAGTATCCCCAAAGCACTGAGCAACCTTGACTGGAATGGCATATATTAAAAGTCTTAGGCAGCAGGTCAAATACTTCTTACAGGAGCACTTGTGCAATTTTATTTCCTCTGTAAAATTGTGTTTATGTGCTTCAGCTGAATTTTAACTACAACCACAGTATGGCAAGTTGGCAACCTCTACCCCTCCTGGGATAGACAAGAGAAATAGTGTTGGGATGAGCATCTATTTTGCAGCTCTTTTCACAAGACCATCTATCGAGTATTCAGAGCATCCTTGCTGGGTGGGACACTGCCCTCCCTGTTATGTCCTAGGACTGGCTGACAGTTGCACAAGGGAGGAAGATGGCAAAGGACTTGGTAGCAAAAATTTGAGAGAGACTGAAAACCTGCAGCAAACACTTGGGAGTCCTAATAAGTTTGTTTTAGGAGCAGCCAAGTCTGGGGAAGAGACCTGACCTAAGCTTTACTACCTTCACACTGGTTTCTTTTGAGTAAAGCCAAACCCCAGGAATGAGCGTAGTTTGGACCCTGCTGTATACACTGTCTGTACTGGGAGAAAACAGACTGGGAGGCTTCCTATTCACATACTATTTTCAGTATTAGGTTTTGGTAGATCTATTAATTTTTTGTATATATTTTGTTCCATATTCCCTACCGCAGCTGTTTTCACATGATTTCCAAAGACTGCGTCATCTGTCTGGTTTTATTTAGAGAGAACAAACAAAACTTGTAGACCATGGAAGCTGATTTCTTTGTTTTGGCTATTTTAGGTGGAATCAGTATTGTGGGGTTTGGGATGAGTGTCTGCAATTGCACTAAATACCAGGTGAAATTAGCTTATAATGAAAGTGCTTGTTTCACGTTTTTTTTTTTTTTAATTCCCCCAGCAAGGCTTAAAACTGTGCAACATCAGTATATATCAGAATAGCTGATACATACTGAAGTAAAATTTCTTACCTATTTACTTTCAGATTATATTCT